GACATCTTTGCTTTTCAACACTTTAAAGAGGTCTTTTGCAGCAGATTTGCCCAATCTTACCCATGTCCAAACACCACAGCTCACCTCCTCAACAAGTGAGCATAAGTTTACTCCCCTTCTCTATCACATACAGGCTCAAATTCTTTAACAGTTTATAACAGGAAAAACTACCAAGTTTTAAAAGTCTACATAAACTATATCCTTCGGCTCCCCTCTATATGCATACATTTTTAGGATGCATAGGTTAATTAACTTATACAGGTCCCTTGACCTGCTGGCACAATAGTTAAGTGCTCTACTGCTAACAGAAAGGTTGGGGGTTTGAACTCACCCAGTAGTTTCGTGGGAGAAAGACCTGGTAATCCGCTCCCATAAAGATTACAGCCCAGAAAACCCTATGGGGCAGTTCTACTCCGTTACATGGGGTCACTGTGAGTTAGATCAACTCAACAGCACTTAACAACAACACTGGTCTGTGTATGGTCAAAATGCTATTTGGACCGACAGGCTCTCTGCGAGCTGGCTGCTAGGCCAAGTCATTCCTGCACAGACAGTAATGTCTCTAATGTAGCAATGATCCATTTCTTCATTCACCTAATATTTACTGAGCAACTACTATGTGCCAGGTACTGGTCTAAGCCCTGCAGATGATACAACACTGAACAAAACCAACAAAAATCCTTCTCCTCACAGAGCTTACTGTCTAGTAGATGGCAGACAGAACATAAACCAAACAAATGAGTAAAATATGTGGTCTATAGGGTGTGAAAAGTGCCACAGAGAAAAATAAACCCGGAAGGGTACTGGGGAGTTCAGGGAAGTGCTGCCATTCTAAAGAGACAACATTTGAGCAGACACCTGAAAATGATCTTTTTGGTGTATACGCTACTATTAATTTTCAAAGTACTTTCTTCCCTGTTGTCTTATTTCATCCTAGCAACAGCTTCTGACAGGAAAAATTGTCAAAATGTTTAAAAGTCTAGCTGGCTGAGGTCTAAAGAAGTTGTGGCACCATGGGGTTCAAGGACTTGCCAAGGTCTCACAACTATTTGATCCTAGAGCCAAGACTAGAAACCCAGGTTTCCTTGTTCCCAGTTCTGATCTGAGGACATAGCAACCTGACAGTGTTGTCATAAAATAATAAAAATGAACCGTGTTTCTAAACACTCAGGACTGATGCTGAGGCTTGAGTGGTGCCAGGCAGCTGGCTCGAAGCCCTCCTCGCCACCTTAAGGTTACCGTGGCGGCCACACGTCCTGCTGACCTTGGAGCCATCACAGCACCTTTCTGCCAAAGGCCGACCCGCCTGCTCCGCTTGCTGTAAGTGAGCAAGTTTCTCCGTGAATCCATTTCATGGGCTGCTTTTGATATATGCAGGGGTAACCCCAGGTTCCTGCCCCTAAGAACCAACCCGAAATGTAATACCTTTTCCGTGTTTCTTCTTTGCGTTTCTTTGGAAGTTTGAACTTTGTTTGATCAAACGACACTGACGGCCAAAAAACTTTGACAACCATCTAGAAATTTTTTCTCCACAGTCGTAAGTATTTACCCTGGCAAAAAAAAAAAGGGGGGGTGGGTGGGGGAAGGATTAGTATTTCTTTAAGTAATAATCTAAACTGTAAAAAAAGTTAGATTGAAAAAGAAAATACAATTACATTTTGCCAGCCCCCTCTCCCAGGAGAGGTTTGGTAAAGTAACAGGAGTGATTAGGCAGTCACAGGGAGATTTCCAAGGCCCAGGAAGACACACAGGCTGGGGCTTATGTAAAACTTTCAGACCAGATAAAAAGCTTTAGAAGGAGCCCTGGAAGAACAACGGTTAAGCATTTGGCAGCTCACCGAAATGTTGCCAGTTTGAACCCACCCAGTGGCTCAATGGGAGAAAGACTTGGCAATCTGTTCCCATAAAGATTACAGCCTAGAAAACCCTGTGGGACAATTTACTCGTCACATGGGGTTGCTATGAGTTGAAAATGACTCAACGACACCTTATAGCAATAACAACAGAAAATCTTTAGAAGTTCCTCTTGTTTATATTAATTATTGCCACTGAGAACCACAAAGCTTGGAATTTGAGACCTTATAAAGCAGGGTTTTTTTTGCTTTAAGAAGCCCTTGAACACAGACACGAGTCCCGGTTTTTTACTCTGAGCCCAGCTGTAATATTTTCTTTCACTGCCAGGCCATATGGGCTAACTTTTTTTGGTTTATAAAAAAGAACACTGTGCCTATACATTCAGACATGTTATCAAAAGGGATCAGGCCCTGGAAAAGGACATTATGCTTGGTAAAGTAGAGGGTCAGCGAAAAAGAAGAAGGCTTTCAATGAGTTGGACTGACACAGTGGCTGCAAAAATGGGCTCAAACATAGCAACAATTGTGACGATGGCATAGGACCAGGCAATGCTTTGTTCTGTTGTACATATGGTCGTTATCAGTCGGGACCAACTTGATAGCAACTAATAACAACAACAACAACATAGATGATCCTTGAAAACATTCTGCTAAGTGAAAGAATCCAGTTACAAAAGATGACTTAAGGTATGAGTCTATATGAAATGTCCAGAAGAAGCAAAGCTATAGAGACAGAAAGTTGATAGTAGTTACCTTGGACTGGAGAGGAAGAGGTGTTTTGAGTGGGGGTTGGTGGAAGGAATTACTGACCGGTAAATGGTATGGGGTTTCTTTTTAGTGTGATGGAAATTCTCTAAAATTCATTATGGTGATTGTTGCACAACTCTGTGAATATACTAAAAAACTTTGAATTGTAAATTTTTAGTGGGTAAATTTTATGGGTTGTGAATTATATTTCTCAACAAGGCTGTTGACAACAACAAAAATGCACTTTAGAGACCTGATAATATTAAACCCACTTCCAAAAATCAAAAAAAAAAAAAAAAAAAAAAAGAACACTGTGCCTATACATTACAGGTACAAGTACATTGATTAATCTAGCTTTTTTTTTTTTTTTTTTCCAATTCTGCAATTTTCTAGAATTTTTAAAAAGGGCACATCACCAAAACTGATAATGTAAAATCACTAATATCCTACCCTGGGAATACAATACAGGTATTTTTGAAAACCTATCTTTTTCTTAATTTTTACTGGGAAAAAGAGTTGCCTTCCTGTTCTGGGAAGGGAAGCATGAAATATCATGTTGTAAGCACACTCTCTCCTGTGCTTTGAGAGATTGCACCAAAGTCCACTTTCATTCTATTGAGTACTCAATGGTTCCACCAATAGATAATCTAACCTCTATTTATCTGAAAAGCTCTATTAGCCAGCAAACTGCATTCCACACAGATGCAGCTAAGTGAAATGTAGATGAGCCTGCAGGTATTCCTTAATGTCCACACTTCTCTCTACATGAAGACTTGCTATAGCAATGTACAAAATTGTTTACCAAAAATTCATCACCCTATTTGAAAGTGTCTATAACAAATGTTTAAACTGGCGAAAATCTTTAAATTGGTGCCAGTACTGGCAAGAAGATGTGGTGTGTGCTCAACTCCTGGGCCCTCAGGATGGGGTCCAGTGCCCACGATGTTTAACTTGCTGAGAATAATCATCATGTTATCATTTTCGTGTACCTTTCTTGAGGAGGTAGCCCTTCACAGCTCCCAGCATGATCCTCTGCCTGGTATCTGAAGGCACTAACAACTTGGGTCCAATTTACATGTAATTTAAGTATTTAACGTATTATTTCATGACTTGCATGATAACATATGTTCAGGTACTACAGAAGGAAATGTGATCTAACTTGATATTATACAGCATTACCATCTACCGAGCATACCCACTAATGAGTTTATTGTGTTAACTAATTAGGCAAATAGCATTTTAAAAGCTTTCTATTATATAGAAGTCCTTAGTGAACTGTTATATAGTTAACTGTTTTTGTGTCTTGCGGGGAATTTGGTTGGGGTATGAGATGAACTGGTAACCAGTTGGATAGGCCCATCATTGGAAAATTTGCTATTACACATGTTGTCAGGTACGGATTAAATTTAGATAACAAGGGATGCCAGTATTTGATCTGTTCAATGAAAGGATTTATTGTAAATGAACATTTACAATTAAGAAATAAAATAGAAATGCTATTTCAGTGAAACCTGTGAAAGCCGGAACTCCACAGATTGCCTTGTTTTTCCAGGTGTCACAAGTTTTCCTCCTTTGACAGAGTGCAGTCTTACCACTTTTCCATCACTCGTTAGTGGGAAACTTGAGTTTTTATTCTCTGACAGTTTTCTGTCTTACACAGGTTCCGACTTTCACAGGTTTTACTGTACATTCAATGCCACTTTCTACATTTCCTGAAATTTAGCAGATGATTTATCATCAACAACCCAAACTAGGTAATAGTACACAACATATGGAATATAACTTATGAGTTATCACCTGAAAGTTATACTTCAGAAAACAGAGGAACATCTTGATACCCCCATCACCCCCCAGCCTCCACATCCAATCCACCAGCTAGTTCAGGTGATTCTGCTTCCAGAATATATATCTCACCCTGCCTGATTTTCTCTCTGATCCTGGTCCAAGCCTCCATCATGTCTCAGCTGTGTTACAAACACAGGTGCTTAGATAGCCTTACTACTTGCACCCTTATCCCCTTCCAACTACTCTAGACCCACCAGCCAGTCTTTCAAACCATGAATTAGGTCTCTTCCCTCACCACCTCTACTGTGACCACCTCATCCAAGCCACCATTATGCCTCTACTGGACTGCTGCAGTGGTCTCGGAACCATTCGCCCTGTTTCACCCCATCCTCCCACCCCACCCTCTGTACCCAGCGCTGTTCCAGGCTCTACAGTGAGCAGTACAGATAAAGTCCTACTCTCCTGGAGTTGGCATTCTAGTGACAGGGGTTGAAAATAAATAAACATACAGTAGTAGGTCAGGAAATAATAAATGCGAAGGAGAAGAATACAGGTGAGGGAGTGAGCCCTGAAGAGTTATAAGTAGTGGAAGAGCCAGCCAGGCAGAGGAAACAGTGAATGCAAAGACGTGAGGTGGGAGTACACTTAGTAGGTTTGAAGAATACCAAGGAGCCAGTGTGGTGAGGGTAGAGTGAGCAAGCAGGGAAAGTGACAGGAGACTGTATTGAGGGTGTAACAGAGGATGGACCATACAGGGCATTGCTCTCCTCCCTCTCTGTGTTACCCCCGCAGATAGATCTGAGATTTTCCCCTGCTTTAGAGCCTTACCTGTCAGCACAGACCTTGCTTTGGCAAATCTGAGCCCGTTCACTGTTTTCCTCGAGAGGCACCTCTATAGGCTCCATCCCTAATGAATGAAAGTTAGAGGCGAATTTATCATCATGCAGAAAGAATAACTATGAAAATAAAAGCCCATTGTCATGAATTTGGAGTGGTTAAGAGCTACAGCTGCTAACCAAAAGGTCAGTGGTTTGAATCCACCAGCCATTCTTTGGAAACCCTGGGGCAGTTCCACCCTATCCTATAGGGTCACTATGAGTCAGAATCAACTCGATGGCAACAGGTTTTTTTTTTGTTGTCATGAATTTTGACAACTCTGGAATTTGGTTGAATCACGTAAGTGGCTGAGTCTTAGACTTCTTTTCATAACACAGAGCTCCTCTTCATCATTATGAGTACCACCAACAGCACGTGCATTGAGCAGCTTTCTTCTGGAAGATCCTGCGCTGCGGCAGTCATATTCATAGTCCCTCGGACGCTCTATGAATTCTTTTGAAGGATTTCTCAACTTCTGACTGGCTCCACATACTGAGGTCATTGTTCTATATCAAAAAAACCAAACCCATTGCTGTCAATTCCAACTCATAGCAACCCTATAGGACAGAGTAGGATTTCCAAGGAGTGGCTGGTGGATTCGAATTGCTGACCTTTTGGTTAGCAGCGCAGTTCTTAACCACTGCACCCCCAGGGCTCCCACTGTTCTATAAGCTGCCTTAAATTCTTTAGAAACAGACAAGCAGGAAGACGGCTCATTCCACTAAGCTGTCAGCACAGAGTGTCAATTTTCAGAAGCCCCTATGAGTCAGCATCAAATTGGAGGCCTTCATCAAACATCATTATTGCTGAAAAAAATGGTTACTGTGTCAGTGAGATTGGGAAGCTGTTCTTTGTGTGTATGTGTGTGTTATACATCATACATATAATGGAGTTTACAACATACATATAATAGTTTTAAAAATAATTATGAAGTTAACACTCACATACACACTACGCCAGCTAAAGTGGTATTCATTCTTTAAATAAAAGTAAAATATGTGGAAGAAACAAAAGGGGTGAAAAAATCTTTGGTAAAAGCCGGACCTGCTGAGACCCTCGGCCATCCTGCATTCCTCTTCATCCTCCATGAGTCATTAAAAATATATGGGAAGGCATGAAGCTGCGACATCTGAGCAGAATTTCTGGAGAACCAGAAGCAAGACCTCCTTGTGCTTAGCCCTGTGCCCTCCAGCTCTCTCAGCATCGCCTCCAGCCACACTGCTTGTTGGCATGACCCAGTCTGTCACTTGGGCAAGCACATGTCATGCATACCTGCATCCCTGTTCATCCTGGTCCTGCTTCATCACACACAGCACAGCCCAGCAAACTACACTCACTCCCGCTTATGAGCTCCAGATCACTCCTGCTGCCAGGACCCATGCCCACCACAACAGGTCTTTTACCTCAAGGGGGACAGGGAAACAACAATTTGCGTAACAGGTATTCCATGAGCCCTGTTCCCTGCTTGTCCACATCTTACACATGCACAGCCAGCCCCACCCTCCTGTCCCTGTGTGCGGAAGACCAGAGAAGGAGCCTTCTTATGCAGAATGCTCCAGAAGTTTGCAGAAGGAACATGCTGTGCTGAATAACTGTAGATGCTGCTATGTCAAACAAATGTTTATGGAAGAATGATACAAGCCAGATATGCACCCACAGGAGACAGCAGTAATGTGAGCTTGGAACATTGGCTATGAAGTAGTAACCATAGCAGTGAACAAGTACCAGTGGGGAGCCAGTGGGGAGACCCATCCTCTGCTTCTTTTAACCCTTCTCCAGGACTCTGCATAAATCACTCAGGGCCTTTGGCCCTCAGCTGCCTTATAAAGATCATCAGAGGTTTCTTGTTAAGGCACACAAAATCTGGGTTCCCTACATGGACAGAACTCAAGGGGCCCCCAACAAAGTCCCGGGGACTGAATTCAATCACTACATACTGAGCCTGTACTCAGCTCAGAGATACAGAAAAATAAAAGAACACAACCTCTGGAGTCTTAAAATCTTTGGGAGGGGCAAGTGTCACACATCAAACCATTATAATAGGTTGTATCATTGTTATTATTTGGAGCTAAGTGTTTGCCCTGTCATAAATTGCCAAAAGATGCCCTTACTCCACTCACAGTGCTGGAAACCCCTACATGAGAGTGGCAGATCTGATACACGTGGGGGACACCACACCATCTCATAAAGTGTTGCTAATTTGGAGGGGAAGATGTTTGGCTTTTGTTTTATTTCTCTCTCCCATTCCTTACATTCTGGGATAATCCACTCAACTCTTTTTGTATGTTAATATCCTGGATATCTAACCTTGAACAAAAGTATAATAAAAGAAGGTTATGTATCAGTTTCACTAATGAAAACAGATACAAAAATACCAAAAAAAAAAAAAAATTATCAAACCAACCCAGCAATGTATTTTAAAAAAATCATTGCCAAGTAATGTTGTTTTGCAAGAGTGCAAGATTAATTCAGTACCAGACAATCTACTAATGTAATATGCCACATCAATAATTATAGGAGAAAAAAATCTGATAATCAACAGATACAGAAAAAGCATTTAGTAATAACTGAATATTAGTCAAGATAAAACTTTTGGCAAAATAAGAACAGGAAAGAATTTCTTTAGCCTGGTAAAGCAATCTATCAAAAACCTACAGTAAACATCATTCTTAATGTTGAAACTTTAGAAGCATTCCATTAGTCAGCAATAAAGAAGAATGTCTACCATCACTGCTTCCATTCAACACTCACTGTTCAAGGCCTAGCCATGCAGTAAGATAAGAAAAAAAGAAAAATTGGAGAGACAGATACAAAACTATCCTTATTAGAAGACAATATACCTATTTACATAGGGACAATGCGAGGAGCCCTAATACATGGCATAAACACATTACAAACCATAAGTAACAATGCGGAAGCACCAGAACAGAGACTAGATAAATGGGAGCTCCTAAAAACCAAACACTTATGCTCATCCAAAGACTTCACCAAAAGAGTGAAAAGACAACCTACAGACTGGGAAAAAAATTTTTGGCTATGACAAATCCAGTCAGCATCTAATCTAAAATCTACAAGATACTGCAAAACCTCAATGACAAAAAGACAACCCAATTAAAAAATGGGCAAAGGATATGAACAGGCACTTCACCAAAGAAGATATTCGCGCAGCTAACAGACACAAGAAGACATGCTCACGATCATTAGCCATTGGAGAAACGCAGATCAAAACTACAATGAGATATCATCTCACCCAAACAAGGCTAGCATTAATCCAAAAAACACAAAATAATAAATGCTGGAGAGGTTGTGGAGAGACTGGAAGACTTATACACTGTTGGTGG